GTGGCAAAAAAATTTCAGATCTCAAGTTTTCTTTAGATCATTTGAGAAAATTATATCACAATTGCTGGCATTAAAAACTTTCAAAGTGTATACCATAGGCTTTTTTTTTTTCCAGACCAGCACCATCACATTGCCTGAGACCTTGTTAGAGACACAGTTCTCAGGCTTGACTTCAGATCTGCTGAATCAGAAACTCTGGGAGTGGGGCCTAACAATTTGTATTTTCACAAGTCTTATGAGGGAATATTCTGGAAACACTGACCTAGCAATTTAGAGTTGAGTTAGATTATTGCTGAAGCATTTCATTTCAAGGACCAGCTCAAAACATTATTTGAAATCATTGTTTAAAAATTATAGAATCTCCTTCTCATACATGGCTGTGAATTAAGAGTGTTGTAGAAAATTCACAGAATGAAAATAATTGCTTAGATCCCTTGGGAGGTCATGAGGGCAGATAATTTTCAAAGGTGTCAGTCACAGAAATCTACAGAAGCTTCTCTGGGGGTTTACTAAAAGAAAATGTATTCATGTATTTGATTGGTGACTGATCCTTTGACCATCTAGGATTTATCTCCAAAATACTTGGAATTCTGGGTCAGGAGAAATGATATCAGAGCTTCAGGTCTGAGTCAGTCTTTTATTCATCTAAGTATCCTCATTATCTTCCAGAGTGCCCATCATGGACAAAACATAATAAACCTTTACGATACATGAATGGAGGATGGAATAGTCATCTCATGGATTTGGGTCCTTAAGCAGTTTGCATTAATATTCTGGGGTCACTTAAAAATATCATTTGGATAGTTTATTCTAGCTACTATTAATGAATACTGATGGCTTTATGGACCTACTGCTGGGAGAGGGAGAGAGAGAGAGAGAGAGAGAGAGAGATAGAGAGATTCTTATATGAAGTTAATGCTTGTTCTATTTCTTGAAATGTCTACAAAAGACCTGTTACTACATATTAACCTTTTCAGTATGTAACCCAGGGTTTTCAACCTTGACACTATTGACATTCAATGCTGGATAATTCTTTGCTATGGGAGCTGTCATGTACACTGTAAGAAGTGGAGCAGCATCCCTGGCCTCTGCCCACTAGATGCCAGGCATATCTCCTACTCCCAGTTGTGACAATCAAAACGTCTCTAGACACTGCCAAGACTGTTTCCTTGGGGAGCAAATCACCCAGGCTGAGAATCACTCCTCTAGCCTAATATTAATAGAATAGTAATTTTCCTGCATTTTATTCAAAGCTATGGAAACAGGCTTCAAGGAAAAGCATATGTTCCACATTTCTCTTAGCTCACTGTTGAGGACTTTGGCAGTGACAGCTTCATCTATTTTGAAATGATTTGGTTCACAGATCATCATTATTTTGGGTCAGTTTTCTCCTTGGAACAACTTTATCTTTGGAGATGCAAATTCATGAACGCTAAGCATCTTTTTTAGACATAGTGTGATCTTCTACACTGACTCAGTGTTGAATTCCATTATTAGGCATTTTTATTTAATAATTTCTAAAAAACCTATAGACTGGCTAAAGGAACACTGAACGGGTCTGTCATATTCAGCAACTAACTGAATGGTTTTTATCTACTTCATTACAATGTTTTAAAATATTATGTAAGTAAAAATCTAAATAAAATATACTAATAGTCTTTACTGCATCCCACTCAAGATTCTGTCCCTGGAAAGAAACTCACCAATTGCTTCTGCAATCGACTTTTCGGTACCTAAAGGATTTGCTAACGGTAACAAAAGGGGTCCCTTCCCTTGGCGTTGTCACCAAATAATCTACCTCCAGCCAGAGCTGCCCAGAGGAAAGCTTTACTACTTCTGACAACAGACAGTGGGAAGGTAGAGCTCCCTAAAGAAATTGCCACCCTGAGAGCGGTTTGCTAGGACTCTTTTATCAAGGGTTAGGGGAGTGGCCAGGGTATAGAGAATGAGGAATTGGAGGGCCCTTCCTGCTTGCAATATACATCTTTATACATCAAATGTTCACAAGTCTGACTCAGCCCAGTTTCGCACAGCTTAACCCATTTTTTGTCTGTGGTGGCCTGCCCCTCCCCTCCCCGCCCTTTCCAGAACATCCTCTGAAAAGCAAGCTTACGCCAGTAAGCTGTCTCTGCTGGTATCCCAGTGCCCCCTTTTGCCTAAATTCCATACTCTTGGTTACACCAATTATTCTATTTCTTGATTATAGAAGTCATCTATTTTCTTCCTGTTAGGGCATAAAGATTTAGGACTAATTCAACCTCCTCTTCACTTCTGCTTCTTCTTATTCTATATTACAATTGTTACCTAAATCATTAGTGTTTCAATGATGAGCTGATAGTGTACCTTGACATCTTTACTGACAACCTCACAATAAGTTCCCCTCCCTTATTATCCATGTGGGCATGCTTTAAACTTTCCTTTCTTTTCTTCTTTTTCATTGAATGGTGATTTCAGAGAGAGAAGGGATAAAAAGCATGTGGCCATCACACATTCAGCAGGAAACTAAGGTGATTTTGGAACACTTTCGAATGATTACACAAAGTCTCAAAATTCTATTGTTAGAAGGCAGAATGCCTATTTCACCCTCACCTCTTGTGTTTAGCATAACTGACAGGCAGGGATTTTTTTTAACATCTAAGAAACAAGAATAAAATTTTTAATTTTTATAAAAATTCTTTTATTACTATTTTTATAATTTTTGTATCATTATTAACAAGAAATTAGGACCATCCAGAAAACAAAAACAAAGGAGTAAAAGCAGATACCCTATTGACATGACAGATGAAAAAGATACTAGGTGAGAAAGAACATGTATATAATAAAGCCTACAATTTGGAAATTGTGGAAATCAAAGTCAAGCAGTTAATTACTAACAAAGATGGCAACCGTGTTTCTTTTGTCTTTCACAGTGAATGCACAATTAGCACTTAATACTAAGACTGGGGAATAAACCATCTATAATCTACTGAAAAAGACCATCTGCTTCTGTAAATTTTGTTCTCATACACTTGCCAAAGGAAGAGAACATATTAACAAAATAATGGGCCCTGCACTGTTAATTGCTAGGTTGTTTGCAGTTGTGCTGTTGCTATTAGAATTTAATAAGCCATTCCTTCTGCTAAATTAATAGGCAGCCAAGATTATGTAATAGCTGCTTTCAGCTGCTAATTATTTTTCCCATAATTCCCTCCCCTCCCTGCCCCCACTCCCACTTCTTTTTTTTTTTTTTTTTTTTTTTTGACTAGGAACACGGAGAGGAGATTGCCAGTATGTCATCAGCAAGTCCCTAGTCCTCATTTTCAGAGCCATACACCAACATTAGGTGCATAACCGATGAGTTTAAATTTGGAGGCAGCTATGTCAAGAACGTTGAATACACACTTTGTACAGAAAAAAAAAAAAGGCAGCATTCGGAATCAGAGGGCAAGTTTTTATTTCATAGTATTGCAGCTATCTTTGAACTGGTTAGTGGCATCTGTTTCAAGTAGTAAGGGAGAAATGGGACATTAGCAAGCACATCTGGGGCATGTTTAGGCAGGGAGAAATTTGGGCAGGGGGCCTAAAGAACTATAGAAAGCTAGCTCTGTGGTTTTTGTCGACCCCTTTGTAATATTCCAGTATACATTAATCATACATGTCACCAGGGAACTTTCCAAGTGGCACAGTAATGCAGAAATGGAGAAGCATTACATTTTTTATTTTGCCAAACAAGGGCATTTTCAAATGCCTCCAAACCGCTATTTAGTATCTTAGTTTCATGTTTATTGTAATAACCCTCTCTTCCCTTGCACAGATAACATGATCTCTAATAAAGGGTTCCTTCAAGTTGACTGAATTTACTTTCATGGAAAAAATTTGCGATTTTTACTTTGGGCCATTAAAAAAAATCTGACAACTACGTTTTACAAACCTCTGCAAAAAGGGCATGGCCCAACAAAAGCAATTTTCTAGCTTCCTTTGTAGGAACCCAGTTGACTGGAGTAATGAATAGCATTCGACATGGGAAACCCGTGGCTGTTCAAGCAAGGTCACCTAATCCCGTGGGGCTCCCCTTTCCTTATCTATAAAAGATGAGTTGGACTAGATGATTCATTCATTCCATCATTCAAACACCAAGTATGAACACTGATTACGTGCCCAGCAGTGTGCTCAGCATCACGGCCCTTAACAAATCTATCATTCATTTCAGTCTTTACCAGCCAACTTGTGTTACACACCAAGCAGTGAACTAAGTTGGAATGCAAAATGAATAAATCCAAGACGTGCTAAATACAGACTAATGGACATGTTGGTGAAAAACGTATTCGTTCTTACAGGGTTTTAGGGTGACGCTTCATACTTGTGACATTTGAGAGGAAGGGCATGTCAGGCAGAGCAAGTCGTTGGCCAGGCTAAACCCAGGCGGCTGGTGGGAGCGATCCCGTGTGAAGCAAGCGGGATCTCGAAGACGAAGTGGTGTCTGGGCTTTTCAGCTGAGGACATAACTCATGCAGTCCGCAGCCCTGAAGATGGGCGAGGCAAGCCCAGGGTGCGAAGCTTGTGGTAAAAAGTGTCTGGGCTAGGGCTGTAGCACTGCGATGGGAAGGAGAGGCCGTCTACCTAGCAAAAGGCCCTGTGAACGCATGCAAGGGCTCCGCGAAAGAGCTGCCTTGCTTTCCCCAGAGTTGCAGCACTCCCTTTCTCCTCCCACCATCATCACCGGCCGTCACACCTCCCTATCCCACCCTCTTGGGACACGGAGAGTCATCGGAGCTCGAACTTGGCTCTTCGCGTTCAGAACCTTCTCTGCCTCGAACCACAGGGTCGCCTAAGGTCGCCGCGGAACCACGTCCTCCCGTCACCAAAAGAGCCAAGGCAGCCACCCGCTCGCGTCCCGAAGGCACGAGCCTGAGTACGCAGGCGCGCTGGCTGCTGCCGAGGCCGCTTCCGGGTCACGTGGCCCAACTTCCGGTTCGCACCACTCCTCTCGGTGACGACGCGGCCAATCGGTTTCGTCGGACTACGCGGTCGCCTGCGCCGCCTCCGGGTGCCGTTGGCTGCCGTTGGGCCGCTTCCCGCGCGTCGTCCAGCCCGCCTCTCCGCTAGCCGCAGCCCCAGCTCCTCCCTCGTCCGGCCCCTGGGGCGGAGTCTGTTGGCTCGCCCTCCCCTCGCCGCCTAAGCCTGCTTTCCGACAACTGGGTCCCCTCCCCACAGCAACACGGCGTCTCCTACTCGCCGCGGCGACAGGGGTTTCCCCTCAGCCGCCGCCGCTGCCGGCCGAGCCCAGCCGCACCCGCGGCCCGCGGCTGCCGTAAGTCCCGAGGGCGAGTGGGGACGCTGGGGATGGGGATGGGGAGGGGGAGGGATGGCTGGGCGCGCCCCCCGCCGCCCCGCGCGCGCTCCGACGACCCCACCCCGAGCCCGCCGGCCCGCCACCTGGGCGCCGCGCCCCACAACTCACTTCTTTCCACGTCGGCCCCCCGCAAACCACTGCGCGGCGCCTGGGAATGCGGGGTCTAGTCCGGGGCTCCGCCGGGGCGCCGCGGCACCTGTGGTTCGGGAATCGTCTCAAGTTTTGCGGGGCGTTTTAGGGAGGGGCTGGCGGCCGGGGACGGCGGCGGCCGAGAACTCTTGGCGCCCCCCTGCGCGGCGGCGGATGCCATTGTCTGCTCCGCTCCTTGCCTGTCACCTCGCTCAGGCTTGGTCAGTGATGGAGTGTAGCCCCGGAAGAGGGGGAGGCATCGGAGACGGCGGGACCCAAGGAAAGCTGGTCCCGAGCTCGCTCCGAGGCTGAGCCCATTGTTTTTAAATGCCCGTTTCCCAGAATTGTGGTACCCTGTGATTTGCGACACAATCAAAGCATTCGTGTTTAATAAGACAGGATACTTGTGCCTTGCAACCGGATTTCGTCCCATGTTAGTACATAATTTATTTTGAGAGAATACGTTGTGTTTTCTTCTTGTAAAGTGGTAGGGCAGATACAGGACCCTGCTCCCGACAGCCTTGAACCCAGACTCTTTTTGGCAAGCAAACCCCCGCCCCTCCTGGCCACCGAGATCAAGGAATACGAGGTTCATTCTCTTCCAAGTTCTGGTAACGGGTTTGCTTTAAATGTCCAGTTGATGCTTCGCTTGCTGCCCCCTTTTCGAATGCCGCTGATTTTGCAACTTACATGGAGGCACTTTGATATCCCTGAGTAATGTCCGTGTATTTTGTGCCACTGAAGCATGTTACGAGCGGTAATAAGCCTTAAGTTTAATAAAGTTAAAATTGTCATGTCGTAAATTGCCAAGTATCTGGTTGATGTCTTTTTGCATTATTTTAATTTCATATCAAATAATTTCATATAGAAATTTAGGGCTCATTTTATTCTATATTGATTGTATAAATTCTCTCTCCCCATGTTCAAGATGGTGTGAGTTTTAAGAATCAGGCTTGAATCTTCTTTGCCATGCTTAAAAGAAAACAGAATACGTATCTGAATTCTATCTTTACATTATCTTGTAGAAATAATACTGTTTGCAGTTGATGACCAGTTGACTTACCATAAGCTTGCCTTTAACAGAACATTCAGACTAATCAACAGATTTGCAGGTTCCAAATAAATACACACAAATTAGGTTAGGTGTTAAAAACACTAGAATTCAGTATCCAATCCATCTGTAGATGCTGTTTTTTATTGTTTTAAATGTAATATTTCATATAATGCCCCTGAATATATCTAATTATTATTTTGACATTTTAAAGATTTGATTTTCATAATATTACATTAACCTGACTCTTAATTATGTGCATATTTATGTTTTTAAAAATGAGATGAAAACAGATACTTTAAGATCAGGATCTTATTAAGAAAAACATGTATTTGTGAGATCCTCTTTTTTGGTGAATATTTTAGCTCATTCTGTTTTTTTTTAAATATGCTAGCATAAATGGAAGAGAGCATTCAAAGTCTACAAGTAATTCACCCTGGGACTAGAAAAGCCTTGGGCTGAAAAATAGTAGATTGCCTGTTTCTTTCAAATGTACCTAAACCAATTGATATCTACAGTTCTCTTTTGATGCATATAGGGAGTGTGGACTGTATGAGCACAGGTAGAAAATAGTTTCTAAATTACAAGGGACAGCTTTTTGTTCAAAAATTTCACTGCAATATACCTGTTTTTTCTTTTTTTTCCCACCCATTCCTCTCCAAACTTATGTGGAACAGAGTGAGATGGGAAGGGAAGGGTTGTATCTAGCAGAAAGATCTTTCTAAAAGAATTTCCTGCTATTTCAAGTGACATAAAAATAATGATAGCTGCTAATTGTCAGTTTAATGCCCTGCTCTCACAGGTTCCTCTGAAAAACATGTATTAACCGTATTGAGTCAAAGTACCGCATGTGATCTTTACTTTACTTGTCTTAACAGATGCAGTTTATGCTGCTTTTTAGTCGTCAGGGGAAGCTTCGACTGCAGAAATGGTATGTCCCACTGTCAGACAAAGAGAAGAAAAAGATCACAAGAGAACTTGTTCAGACCGTTTTAGCACGGAAACCTAAAATGTGCAGCTTTCTTGAGTGGCGAGATCTGAAGATTGTTTACAAAAGGTATGGTTTTTATTTATCAGAAAGGTGTAATAAAAGAGTCAATTGTTAGGTCATTTGTAACATGGAGATGTCAGACTTTTGTTGATCACATTTAGAAATAATGATTAATAAAGATTTAGGAGAAAAATATTTAGAGTAAAGCAGTAAAGCTTTGTATTTTTAAAATAACTGCTGTTTTGATTGATTATCCAGGCTAAAATGATAAAAGGGAAATCATTTTAGAACTAATTATATAATTAAAGACATAAATGACTATTTATAATCATCTTTTTAGAAAAACCCAGTTCATTTCATTGCAGGAGGAAATAGGGTCAGAATTTTAAATTATGTGAGAAATTCTCTGAATTTAGAGAAGCATAGATAACAGTCTAATCCCTTCTCCCTGCAAATCTATAAAATAATAACTGATATTTGACATGCCTTTTATCTGACTATTAGAATCTTCTAAATATCTTGGGAACATAGACTTTCAACCATACAAATGTTTAAAAACTTTGCATATACACAGGATCTGTTTTGTTAGTAGTGTGTATTAATTCAAAATACACTTGTTGCTCCGGTAGAGATATGAATAGATATAATATATCATTTTGCCAAGGAGGTTTTTTTTAATTTTATATTGGAGAATGACTATTAGATTGGTTTTTTACATTGAGAATTTTAAAAATGCTGTGTATCTTTATTAGTATATGAAACTCTGATACCTTAAAATAAATTTCTCAACACTATTCTAAGCAGGCTAAATGAAATATAACAACTTCTTTTACTGAACATTTCTTGAAGGAACATTTACTTTTGTTTCTTCCTCATTTCTGTACCCTTTTGAATAATTTACTGAATTTAAGATAACAGCATTTCTACGTGTAAAAAATTCCCTTGTATAGGGAGCACGTAGGTAACTAGTCATTTGGGATGCAAAGAGGCATCTGCAGAGAGGTCTGGTTTTTTTCTCAGCTTTCCTTTATTGCATTCCAAAGGATGGGTTTTTTTTTGCTCAGGAAATGGTAATAGGGTAGAGGGAAAGAAAAGGAAATAATAGCACATAAAGAGTTTCTTAAATACTATAGAATCTTCTTTTATTATGGAATGAATTTAGCTACCTCTGGGTGATTTTGTATCCAGTGTTTGGTTTATTACTTGTTGAGAAAGATAGAAACATCATAGCATTTGAGAGCTGAGGTATGTCTTAGAATAATTAGTCAAATACTTTTAAAAAAAACTTAAAATGAAAGTGAAGCTGTTCTTGTGCAATCAAGAAGGAGAATCCTGTACCCTTTCTCAGTTGGCTTTGACCCTTTGAACAGGAGAGTTTGTGAGTTTGAAAACCATTGTTAATCAAACTTCAATTTTATAAAAAGTGAGAATTTGAGAGAAGTGACTTGTCCAAGGTCATATGCTAGTTAGTGGTGGACATGGGGCTATAACTCATATCTTAAGAATGGAAACAGTGGTTTTAAACAGGAGTGAAAAAAGATTTCCTTTTCTTAAAGATAGAAATAGGGCAATGAATGGGGGACAGGTGGGATGAGACTGGCACACCTCGGTCCAATAGGAGACTGCATCATACAGAGGTCCTGAACACTGGGCAGGAGAGCTATTACCCAGGTAAGTTTCATAAGACTTGGTCACTCCTAGAAGTGGGACGTGAAGGAAAGGGAAGAAGGTTAATGGTGAGCTAAAAAATGCAGTTTTTGGGGGCAGCTTGACTTTGGGTGCCTGTGTGACTTAATGGTTTTCTGATGGGATTTGGTGGGCATAGGCTTGCCAGTCTGGAGAAAAAGAAAGTGATAGATCACCAGCATTCTAGCTGGTGAATTAAGCATTCTAGTTGGGAGTTAAGAAGGGACCCACAACAGAGTGAGACCCAAAGAAAATAAGGTTTAGCTCAATAAAGTCAGGGGAAGCAGAAAGAGAGTTTCAAGAATTAGATTGCTAGTGCTAGATGTTGCATAAAATTCAGTGATAGAAAGAATTTATTAGATTTTCAATGAGCAATTCATGAAATGCCATTGCCAGAACACTTTCACTCGAGTAAGAGACAGAACTCTTGATGTAATAGGGTGAAGTGTGAAGTACAGAAATTTGAACAGTATCTGTAGGCTATTTTGGGAAGCTTTGCTGTGATGGGCAGAGGAGGTGGTAACCATTTGCAGACATAGGAGTAGGGAGAAAGTTTAAAAAAAAAGGTAAGAGAAGCTTAAGCTTATTTCTAGATAGAGAAAGGAGTCCCCCGTGTGGAGGAGGGAAATACCAGCAAAGGAATCAGTCCTATGAATGAGCTATTAATGGGAAGAAAGGAAAGCACTGGTTGGTGTTCCTGCACACACATCACTCAGCCTGTCCAATGCTGGGCCACCACTGTTTCTTTTGAAAGCTATAAGGAGTAGTCTAAGCCAATTCTGATAAATACATCAAAGCTCCTTTCAGTAAAGGTGGAATAAAAATAACAGCTTTAACTGAAATACAATTCATATACAAAAGGTGGAATTTAAAATCTGTTTTTCTATGTCCCTCCTCATTTCATACTAGACATTTTTTTGTTTTGTTTTAGCATTTTATTTATTTAAGAGAGAGAATCTCCTACCCAAATGCTCACAATAGCCAGGGCAGGCCTAGGCCCAAGCCAGGAGCCAGGTACGCAAGCCAGGTTTCCCATGTGGGTAGCAGGGACACAACCACTTGAGCCATCATTTGCTGCCTCCGAGGTTGTGCATTAGCAAAAAGTTGGAAGCAGAAGTGTAGTGAGGACTCCAACCCAAGAAGTCCAATATTAGGTACAGGCGTCTCAAGCAGTGCTCAACCCCTGTGCCCCTATTGTTTGTTGATATTAGCAGGTGATTTGTTTTTCCTATAACTATCTGGAAGAGAAGACCTTTTAAGCAAAAGAATTGGTGCTTAGCTTTTGAGAAATTCTGAATGAGCACTTTCATTGTTCATATCAGCAAATGCTTTTTATTCCTTTTTTAAAATTGTCTCATCCACATCTTCAGCCTCAGTATTTAGCAAACAAATTCCCCCTTTTGGGGAGGGTGATGTAGGGCGATAAGGATAATATAGCTGAAAAGACAGACTGAAGATCTGAATACTTAAGTTTTTTTCCATTTATGTGAATTGCTAATTTTGTGGTGTTGAACAAGTCACTTTCCCTTTGTTTCCTCATCTCTGAAATAAAATATACTTGAAGATTCATTGACAACAGAACCTTGTATGTTTTTTTCAGTCCTATTTTGTGAAATAGGCACTGGATTGAAGTCTTAAAATTAATTTAAAAATACATGTATCTCCACATTACTAGCTTAGCATTTGTCATTGAGTCCTTGTTGGTTTTCTTTATTAACAAAAGAATTTTTAATGACATACCAGTGGGTGTTGAGAACAGTTTAGCAACATTTACCCACAGTCAGCTGATATTTAGCTGACTGCAGAGAAGTCATGTGTTTTGAATATAAGAATAGGCACTTTCATATGTTCACTGAGTACCAGTAATTAGAGTAAGTCTTAATCCACTGTACTAAAAATAACGAAACATACCTTTCTTCTTACTAGTCTATTAATTTTATTTCAGATTTAGACTTACAAATATGCACTATGAGAACAAAATGAGCTCATTATTGAATTTAAAAACCATTTGGTCCTAAAAATAAGTTGTATACCCCAAGTTCTCTTTAATCTTTTACTAAATAAGTATGATATTTTTTTATTCCCCTGTCCTCAAAACTTAAAATATTGCTCTGGGCATTGCTTGATTTTTGCTAGGTATAGAATTATTTTAATACATTTGCTGGCTATGGTTTTTAATATAAAACTTAGGCTTTGGAGCTAATTGCTATTCCTAGGCAGGTCACTCAAGCCTAGGTCTCCTATAAATGCAGGTAAGAATGGCACTTCTCTGCTAGGGTTGTTGTGAGAAGTAAAATAGCACAATATGCAAAAGCCATAGCTAACATTCAGTGCTTCACTTACAGTGAAGACTCAGTCCATAGTGCCTGTTACTAGGTTTGTTTCTTCCTTCCCTAAACTTTCTGCTGAGAGATACATTCCTAGCATCCTGATAGCTTTCTGTTCACCTGCAAGAAAGAATTCATTAAGTTGGTGACTCTTCGATTCTGAGCCAAAGTAAACATTTAGATAGCATTGGGGTTGTTTTCAGTTGTTTAATATTACTGGTTGCTACTTAGACACATGGTTCCTGATGGTTTTTAAATTAATGCTTTCAAATAGTTTGTACAAGTTAGGATCTTTGACTAGTGGTTAAGTACTATTTTATTTATTTATTTTTCATTTCATTTGGAAGGCAGAGAGAGACAGATGGAGTGAGATCTTCCATCCACTGGTTCACTCCCCTAATGCCTGCAACAGCTAGAACTGGGCCAACCCAAAGCCAGGAGCCTGGAACTCCATCAAGACTCCCTCAAAGGTAGCAGGGGCTCAAGCACTTGAGTCAGTATATGCTGCCTCCAAGGATGTGTTAGCAGGAAGCTGGATCACAAACAAGGTAGCCAGAAAGGAACCAGGCCCTCCCATACAGGATGCAAGCATCCCAAGTGGCAGTTTCACTGCTGCACCAAATGCCTGCCCCAAGTACTGTTTGTTTTTTTTTTTTAAGATTTATTTATTTACTTGAAAGTCAGAGTTACACAGAGAGAGAAGCAGAGGCAGAGAGAGAGAGAGAGAGGTCTTCCATCTGCATGTTCTCTCTCCAATTGGCCGCAACGGCCAGAGCTGCGCGGATCAGGAGCCAGGAGCTTCTTCTGGGTCTCCCAAGGACCCAAGGACTTGGGCCATCTTATACTGCTTTCCCAGGCCATAGCAAATCGGAAGTGGAGCAGCCGGGACTCGAACCAGCACCCATATGGGACACTGGCACTGCAGGCAGTAGCTTTACCCACTATGCCACAGTGCTGGCCCCTACTGTTTATTTTTAAATGAAGGAGCAGTACTATGCATAAGAAGCGAGAATGGTGCAAACATTAGATTGTTCAACAGTAGCACTGAGGAAGTCTTGAAAATGAGGGTATTAAGTAATTTTACTGAAAACTATTAGCAAACTGTAATTATTTAGTATTCTGTTTGTATTAGTCATATTTGGTTTTTAATCTATAATTTTTTAAGATTTATTTCTTTGAAAGGCAGAGTTGTAGAAAGGCAAAAGCAGAGAGAGAGAGGTCTTCCATCTGCTGGTTCACTCCCCAAATGGCCACAACGGCTGGAGCTGGGCTGATCCAGAACCAGGAGCCAGGAACTTTTTCTGGGTCTCCCACGCAGGGCAGGGGCCCAAGCATTTGGGGCATCTTCCACTGCTTTCCCAGGCCATAGCAGAGCACATTTTTATACCAGTTATTTTAATCTAATTTTTATAATCCAAGGAATTGTATTGTGATAATTTCCCCCAAATTCAAAATTGTATTTAATGAGTATCAATTAGAGTGGATGGAGAGTTGTAATACCTCATTGCTTTTTTTATTTGAAAGTCAGAGTTACACAGAGAGAGGAGAGGCAGAGAGAGAGAGGTCTTCCATCTGCTGGTTCACTCCCCAATTGGCCGCAACGGCCGGAGCTGCGCTGATCTGAAGCCAGGAGCCAGGAGCTTCTCTCAGGTCTCCCACGTGGGTGCAGGGGCCCAAGGACTTGGGCCATCTTCTACTGCTTTCCCAGGCCATAGCAGAGAGCTGGATCAGAAGAGGAGCAGCCGGGACTCAAATCAGTGCCCATTTGGGATGCCGGCACTTCAGGCCAGGTTATTAACCTGCTGCACCACAGCATGGGCCCTTCTCATTGCTTTTTAAACAAATAAAAACAGGATAGTAAAGAGAACTAGAGGAAGCACTTTGTTCAAGTTGGAGGCAGTGCAGTGCCCTGGTATGTCTTCTATGATTTATTCTCTTTATGATGATTAATGAACACATTAAAATGTCCACTCTGTAAGTCTGCAGAAGACTCTCCATTTTAAATAGTGAATGTGAAAGGTAAAATGAATATGCAAAAAGTTGGGCTATATGTGATGATATTTGGTTTAGTAAAGTAGAAAAAGACTTGGAGTTCAGATTGGGAGTTTCTTATCCCAGTACTAATACATTTGTAGGCCCTGTATTCTTGGGCCTTACTGATTTTTTGTGTTTTTTTTTTTTTTTATCTATAATAAAGCATGATAGGACTTGCTGTTGAAAAGTCCAAATAAGACCTGTTTTTTATAATATCAAAATTAATAGTGTTAATAGTTATTTTAATACCATGGAACAGGAACTTATTTAATCCTAAAACAGGTTGTGTTTTTCTGTGTATTTTACATTAATGCTGTGAGCAGTTACTGCCAATTGTGTTTTCTAAAATCATTTAAGTGCTCCTCAGTGAAAATTAACAATCTCTACTGAGACTTGTTTAGAATGCCTTGAGTTTTTATTTTCTTTCTTTTCAGAAGCTGTATATTGTTCTTAACTCATTTAAAAATGCTCTTTTAATCCTCAAAGGACTTGCTATGCCTCAAGCTTGTTCATTAACAACTTTGGCTTTCTTAGGTCAAGCATAACCCAGTCTCGTGCTAAAATCCTAATATGTAGGAGAATATGAGTCTCCTACGTTATTCCTTCTTTTAGTAATAAGATCCTATTAACAAATAACCTACACTGCAGTTTAACAGTATTGAACTTAAAAATTTGAGGATTGATTGCAATTTCCCATAAATGATGGGAACTTTTCTGTTCTGTTTCTCTAACTTCTGTGATAACCTGGAGTTGTTTTCTTGGGGGTGGGGCATATTCCACAACCCTAGAAACCTTTTTAAAAACAATTCTGTGCTTTAGAAGTCAAGATGATAGTTCCCTTAGGAATGAGAGGTTGTAACAAGGACAGGGTAGGAGAGGACTTCAGGAGTCAGTCGTGCTGTGTTTTTTAATCTGGGCACTGATGTATAGATAGGTTCACTTTGAAAACAAGTTGAGGGGCCGGCATTGTGGCATAGGAGATTAAGCTTCTGCCTGCAGCACTGGCATCCCGTATGGGCACCAGTTGGAGACCTTATTGTTTCGCCTCTGATCCAGCCACCTGCTAATGCAGGTGGGAAAGCAGCCGGTGAAGAAGCTCCAGGTTCCTGGCTTTGGCCTGGCCCAGTCCCAGCCATTGCAACTATTTGGGGGGTGAACCAGCAAATGAAGATTCTCTCTCTCTCTCTCCCTCTCTCTCTCCCTCACTCTCTCCCTCTCTCTCTCTCCCTCTCTCTCCCTCCCTCTCTCTCCCTCTCTCTCCCTCTCTCTCCCTCCCTCTCCCTCCCTCTCTCTCCCTCTCTCCCTCCCTCTCTCTCCCTCCCTCTCTCTCCCTCTCCCTCTCTCTCCCTCCCTCTCTCTCCCTCTCCCTCTCTCTCCCTCCCTCCCTTCCCCCCCTTCCCCCCTCTGTCTCTCCCTCTCTCCCCTTCTCCCCTTCTCCTCTTTCTTCTCCTCCTCCTCTCTCTAATTCTGTCTTTCAAATAAATAAAAATCTTTTTAAAAAAGAACAAATTGAGCCTTTGTGACTTGAGGTTTTCCCCTTTGTGTGTATTACACTTAAATAGCGTATTCCAAAACATGGACCTCATGTTAACAGTGTCTTCAATAAGTCCTTCAGTTAGAAGGTTTACTTTCTTCTCTATTTACTTGTACTTTGAATTAATCAACTTCAGAAAAGTCCAGGTCAACTGTGTTTTCAGATGTTCATAGGAAGGTGCTTAAAAGGAAGAACAAAATCAAAGACCATTTCTAGGTAGTATGATTGAGTGATTGTTTTTGCTCTTTTGCTTGACTATGCTTTTCAAAATTTTTCTTGCACATTTATTACATTTGCAGCCTAGGAAAAAAGAATCTATACTGTTGTGAAAGAAGAAATAAGCATGCTTATAGCATGGATTATTTCATGATAGGTTACAAAAATATATTTAGAAAACTTGATTACAAGTTAACTTTTTTTCCACATTTGTTTTTTGTTACAGATATGCAAGTCTGTATTTTTGCTGTGCCATTGAGGATCAGGACAATGAACTAATTACCCTGGAAATAATTCATCGTTATGTGGAATTACTTGACAAGTATTTTGGAAGTGTGAGTATATTTTATTTCAGGAAATTTAATGCCATAGTTCTTTTTTTAATTTTTAATCTTTTCTTTTTTAAAAAAAAGATTTATTTATGTATGTGAAAGGCAGAGTTACAAAGAGGCAGAGAGAAAGAGAGATCTTCCGTCTGCTGGTTCACTCCCCAAATGGCTGCAATGGCTGGAGCCGGGCTGATCCGAAGTCAGGAACAGGAGCTTCTTCTGGGTTCCCCACGTGAGTGCACTGGCCCAAGGACTTGGGCTGTCTTCTGCTGCTTTCCCAGGCACACTAGCAGGGAGCTGAATTGGAAGTGGAGCTGAATCGGAACTAGGGCCCATGTGGGATGCTGGTGCTGCAGATGGTTTATCCCACTATGCCACAGTGCCAGCCCCTTAACCTTTTCTTTACAAGGTTTATTATTTGGTTGTCTTGGGCATTCTAAATGTATAATAAGGCAGGAATGATTCTATTTCTTGTCAGTGGGCCTAGTTGTTAACTTCTAAAATTACTGGTCCTACAGACTTATTTTATTATGATGAAAAGTTTATAAAGTTGAAAATAGTAAAATAGAAAGGAGTCCAACTGCAAACATTAACATTCTGGAAGTACTCAGTATAGACTTTAGATTTGGTTAGCAGTTCAGATCACATTATCTAGGAATTAAAACCAGTCTTTATGAGTTGAAAGTTGTTGGTACCACATTGGGAACCTGCAGACCAGGTCTTATGTAGCATAGAGGCATTGTGCTTTCAAATACTTGAGATCTGAAAATTCAGCTTATCTTAAATCAGTGATATTAATATGACTGCCATTTTTTAGAAAGAATTAAAATTGATGCAGTGTTGTCAGATTTTCTTCACTGCCTGATGATATTGATTAAGAATCTGGCTTTGGGGCCAGTGTCGTAGTGTAATGGGTTAAGCTGATGCTGCCTGTGAAGCTGACATCCCATTTGGGCACTGGTTCATATCCTGGCTGCTTCACTTATGATCCAGCTCCCTGCCAGTGTGCAGGGAAAGCAGCAGAGGATGGCCCAAGTGATTGGGCCATTGTACCCATGTGGAAGACCTGGAAGAAGCTCCTGTCTTTGACTCTGCCTAGCCCCAACCGTTGCTGCCATTATGGGGAGTGAACCAACAGATGGAAGATCTCTTTCTCTCTGTCACATCTCCCTCTCTGTAGCTCTGCCTTTCAAATAAACAGTAAGTTTTTTTTTAAAAGAATAGAAAGTCTAGCTTTCCTAATTTTTGACAGTGGGTCTTTGTGGGTTTTTTTGTTTGCTTGCTTGCTTTTCAGGTGTGTGAACTTGATATCATCTTTAATTTTGAGAAGGCTTACTTTATTTTGGATGAGTTTCTTTTGGGAGGAGAAGTTCAAGAAACATCCAAGAAAAATGTCCTTAAAGCAATTGAGCAGGCCGATCTACTGCAGGAGGTACGCTACTCCTTCTCTTGACTAAATGCTTGCATGTTTTGCTTCTGCTAGGGAAGTCTCAGTCATCATTGTTAAGTTTCAGAAATCACTCTGAAACATGCTTGGCATGTAGTGTCCTTGTGTGGTTTATTGCTTGGAATATGTGTCAGTCACATCAATTCAGTCATCTGTGGATGGATAGTTCACTTTGGAGATGGTCTATTGGTCAGACCTCTTCTTTATGGCCCATTTTGGACCCCAAAACACTAGAGTCTAATTTTGGAAGACAGACTACTTTAAGAAGGGGAAGGATTGGCCAAAATTAACAGTAAGTTAAGAACTCTCCATCCATTGTTTTGAATTACTTAAGACAATCCCCTTTTTCATTAGTGTGTATAATTAAGAGTTGACTGTGAGATTATGTTGTTCTTATTCCAAATTGGTTCATTTTTTCACCTCATGTCCATTAGGTACAAATGTAGCCAAGCAATTGTTTCTAATTATACTTTTTGTAGAACCTTCTAGTTTTGTGTTAGCCAAACTGACCAAAAGTATTTCTATTTCTTTTGCTCTTCTTAAAAAACAAGCCATGTTCTGTCAAAACTACCCCATTCTTGTCATACCTCTGTATCCCCAGAACTATAATAACCCCTTTCCCTTTCTATTTACCACAGTCATCCTGGGCTAATTGTATATTTGATGCTTATGTATCATCTATTTGTGAAGTTTAAAATTTCATAGATTAAGTCTGCCTTTCTCTAAAAACAATGTCACCATAATTTAAGCACTAAACTGAATTACGTTTTAGAGCTAATTGTGGTTTTGATCTTACAGAAATTTTATAGCATGAGGAGTTAGTAAACAGGAAAAAAATACAGTGTTTTCATTAGATAGTTAAGAGTGTGTGTATATTAAAGATCTTGAATGCCTTTGACATGGCTCATTTTCCAGAAACACTGAAGACATGGTTTTGTATTTCCAGTTTAACTCCCTCTTTTTTATTACATATTTATCAGTTTATTCTTGTCTTTTAAATTTTAAAGGAGACTTTTAAGTGCAATTTTTTTAGCATTTCTGTTTAACAGAAATGTCAGATGTTAGGGGGAACAAAATAGGAGAGAAGAGTGATTCTCTGTCTCAGTTCTAACATTAATTTTCTGCCTCTGTGAGGAGGAGGGAGCTACTTGGGAATCTCCCTGCCTCAGTCATCAACAGCAGCAGTTTTGTGGGAGTTGCTCAGAGTTGAGATGATATTGGGAATGTACAGCTACTAATGCGAGCAAACACATTGTGCATTTAATGGTCTTGTATTTACCAAATAGAATAGTTAATGTGCCTGCAAAAGTGGGGTATTTTATTGGCAGCTCTGGTACTATTTGCTATTCAATAGTGAAGTGAGCACAAGCTCTTTTCCTTGTGTGTAGTTTGCCATGGTGGTTTATTAATCACAAACCACGTCATTTTGGGGATTTTTGTTTTTACATCAGGTGTGCTGACTACAAGTTCACATTCTGTTGTAAAATTGTTCTTAAAGTTAGCACATCCTTATTTTGCTCTTCACTAATCAAATTTAAAAAAAAATAGGTCAAAACCAGGATTAGGAATTGGAGGTCTTATTTGGATCTTCCTTTGATCACTTTTATATTTCATTATTAAGGAACTATGTTCTATCAGAACCTGATATTTTCTCCAAGTTTTTTATTATTTACTATATTTTCCTTAAAACATTTTTAAGGTTATTCAAGTTCAGCCTTGAATTTTAATGTTTGCCCTGGAAAGTAATATTTAGGGCATGAATATCTACTTGCGCCTCGATTATTGTTTAAATGCTACTGGTAAATTGTAATAAACTTAATATGACAATGGTGCTGTGTTCCCTTATAGAGTATATTGAGTATTTAATGTATTAGAAGGTAAAAAAAACATCATTACAGTTCCATATTTATTTGTGTGTGTGTAGGATGATGATGGTCCCTTTTGAAATTTCCCTTATCCATTCTCATCCTTTTTGAAAAACAGACAATTTATTATAGTTCCTTGTCTTTAAAAGAGAACTTTGGTCCCATTTCTTGTCTTTGACTACTTTTACATTGTTTTGTACAGAAATGAAACTTGAATAGTACACTAAGACATTTTCTATGTAGCTGTGTGGGTAGACCTTTTTTCCTAGCCAATCAGGTCTTGAAACTGTAGGAGGTGAATTTAGAGTGAGTTAGAATACACTGCAGGTTAAGGCATTCAGGAAGCTAAGCTCAAGGCTTGGCTTCAGATTATTCTGCACCCTTCATCAACAGACTTTCAGAAGAAATGCAGGAATGACATCAAATTCTCCTTTCCTAAAACAGATTCACTTATATGTTGAGACATGATATAGGTTTACATCTCTGGAAAGGTATTTGAATATTATGTTCACAAAATAGAAAGTGGAGTAAGATGAGAAACAGCACTCCACAGACTGTTAAAAAGAAGTTCTTGTTCTGGAAGTCATGACAACAGAAAATAGCTATGATGATAGCTAATGCTAATTGAGTGCTTATATGTAAAGCTCAGCAGTTGCTTCAAGCATGCTGTGCTAATCCACAGAACAGTCTGTGGAAAGGTAAGAAATAGCCTTTTTAACCATTGAGGAAGCAGAGGCTCAGTGAGATTCCTTTGACTGGTCTAAGGCCAGCTGGTTAACAACTGGCAAAGCCAGGATTCCAAACCCAGATCTGCTAGATTCTAGGGCTCTATGAAACCTTAAGCACTGTGCTCTATTCACATATTGTCTTGGTATGTATATTATAAGTGTTGTTTTAGATACAAATTTCTGTCTTTCTCAGTCATATAGTAAGCAAACTCGTAATTCTCCTAGAAGTTTTTCTGTATTGAACAGATTTCTTAGACTTAGGGTTTGCATTGTCCAAATTATCAGTAGTTGGAATTTTTATGGGGTATGTAGATATAATGTCTTCAAGTCATTTCTTGTTAGATTTATCAAATGTCTGGATCTATAATAGTTTTTTTGGTCTTACAGTTTGGGATATGAGAAATTACTTTGCTTCCAAAATTGTAAATGTAGCTTTAAATTTGTAGAAGTTCTAATTAATTTTAGCTAATTTTTTATGTATCATGATTTTCTTATTTAGTGTCAGGTGTTTTACTTGAATTATTTCTAAACAGCAAAGATGACTTACAATGAACTTGTATCTGTTTGCTTAAAGATATATGCAAATCACAAAATAATTTTGATTTTAATTCTTTTTTAATTAGTGAAACACATTTTTATCATTAAGAACATTTATCTTCTTCAGAAAAATTTCTTGAAATTTTCCCTTTTACCCATTTTGCATAAATGCTACATAATCTAGGTAGTCCTTCATTATGTAGACAAACAAGGAACACAATCAGTAGAAAAAGTTGATTTTCTGCTAGCATATTACTACTAGTAATAAGAATATAGTATAAATGTATATTGAGTAATAATTGCTAAAAATCAGCATTCTAATAATAGATATCTTTTTGTTTGCTTAATTACATGATAAATAAGGGATCAGTTTTGACGTTTGTAGACCAAATTCTGTGTTTATTCCTTCTGGCATTTGGTTGGATAAATACATAATTAAATTTGGGGGTAATGCCCAAAAGTTGGCCCATTATCCAATTTTTAATGTTTGGCTGTTGGAATTTAAAACATGTCTTCCTAACATGCCACTGGTACTAAAGTTGTTTCTTAAATTATTGAAGTACAGTATGCTGAGATTATTATATTGACATTCTTTACAATACTTGAAATATCCTCTCCCCCACTCCCATCTATTTTGAGCTAGATTTGAGGTAGGGGGGTAGAGTGGAGAACAGTGGTGCAATTAATTTATTTTATAAACACATACATGTATAATGACAAAAGAAATAATAGAGTGCAATTTTTTTCTGTAAAGTCGGGCACTTACCAGCTTTTCTCTGCTCCTTAATTTTATAGAGCCAGAATGAAGAATGGGGAGGTTTGTCTGAGGATATCTTATGATAAAGAGCAGTCTAAGGCTTTAGTCCCTTTGACCCCCAACTTATTTATTGGTAACTACTAAATTTACCATTTCTGTGGCATGGATAAAATGGGGTGCTATGCAAAAACTGTTGCACGTGAAATGATTTCCAGCCCTTGCTTGATCCATAAAGATCAAATAGTAAAATATTGGACATTGGGCTTTAACCCTCAGCAGTAGATGCATGATGGTGTTGATCAGCGCTTTGAGATGCGTCAACCTTTCTTTTTTATACTAACAGCATCATTTTGAAATTTGTGGTGAGTTTTTCTTTTGAGCTTTGTTTGCTGTTGGTATTGTTTCTCACTAAAGTAATATGTGAAATGAAAAATAAGTGAGGTACCAAAAGCAAGCATTACACTTGTGAATTTGCTTCTACTTCAAGATGATCCACTTTATGAATAAACTTACTGGATTTGCCATTGTTTATCTGCCTCATCTAGAAAGTGGTGCTCTATGGAGAATTACTGCTGCTAAAATTGATTTGTTTTAGTGCTGGGAGCTGCATGATTCATGCTAGTACTATGCTATATCTTTGTGAAAGTGATAATTAATAAATCTGTGAGGCTGCATAAAAACGGACAGGTAAGAATCTTAGGAGAAAAAGTTACCTCTTTTAAAACTGAAGCTTTTGCAACTTAAAATTATTTTAAGTAAATAAGGGCTTCTTGAAGTATTTAATAATAATATACCATGTAATACGAAGTTTGGGTTTCTTTTAAAGTTAAATCTTTCTAATTAAAAATCTAGGGCATGCTAGTCAAATTTTAGAATCTGTTAAGTCGTTTTAAAAGAATTAGATGCTCAAATATGTATGATAGTCATTTAACATAAAAAATTGTTTTGCTATAAATTTTGCTTTACCAGGAAAAACTCTTGTAATTCTGTTGTCGTTACCATTGTTTCTGTTAAAATCTTTAAGCCTAAACCTTTTTCTTTTAAATTAGATTAAAAGATAATAAGGCTGTAGTCTTTCATGTTAGCATATTTTCATTT